TGACTAAACAGATCAGAGTCTTCTGAGAATGTGTCCGAGTCTCATACTTTGCTAGGTGGAGTTTTTCAGTCTTAGGAACCCTGTCCGTAAGAAGATGCTCTTCCTCCTGTAGTGCATTTATCTGTCTTGGTACTATCAAATAATGAGAGTTTTGAGAACTCAAAGGGGATGGCTCACCTAAAAATAAAAATTGTAATTTATTAAAACTTTTGCTGTTTCAAGAGTTTTTCAAATTCTTCTTTGTGGCAGAACGCATTAAAACATTAAAAACACATAAAAAAATTTAAGCAGCACAACTGTTTACAACATTGTTAATAAGAAATATTTCTTGAGCATCACGTCATGGAATATTAGTGATTTATATCTGGGTTGGAAGAAAACCCAAGCAACTACATAAGTTTTTTTTTTTTTTTTAAACACACTTCCATTCCTGTTATCAGAGATGAACTTGGGTGGGTCCTCTTCGGCATGGCATGTGACATTGCTTTATATTGATTTAGTTATTTTTTTTTCTTCTCCACAGAAGCACTCAAACATTTTATGTGGTCTGCCAATCTGAAGGCTCGGTAATGGCCTCTCTCAATGCCTTGGGCAATGGATGGCATTTGTTTGGAAACACCGTAGCGCTTGTTCATGTGGCATTTACACATTTCGACATTTACAGACATCCGTTACATTAGTACTAATTTTAGAACTAAACTCAATAAGCTGTATTCTGACCTGACTAATGTGGTTTGCTCAAACACACACTTATACCTAGAACAATGAATACGTTTTTAAAATCAGACTTCACTTTAGGTACTTTAAACTATGATGAGACTGGGTGCCAGGATTAAAATATTACTAAAGAGAGGTGAGAATAATTGACCTCAACAGTTTAAACCGTTAATCAGAATTGGGTCACTTTGATCAGAATAAAACTGCCATGGGCTGATATCTCCTCCGTTAGAGGTCAATGCAGTGTACAATGAGGCTGAAGCTTGACCGACGCTGAAGGAGGAGTGGACTGTAATCCAATCTGGGTTAAAATCCACCTCGGGGCTTTCCAGTATCCAGTGCTTCGCTTTTTATGGCTACCATCACTGACTGTATGAGAGTGATAGTGGGAAATTGGCCATAGCGCTGGTAAATGTATCCCAGTCCAACATTTCATCTCGGATCACTACAAGCACACATCAAAGAGTGACCTCTATTTTTCATATTCCGTGTGCATAAGAAATCCCGACGGAGTTGGAAGCTCCCCTATCTCACATTAACGCAGACCCCCTTATCGCTGAGTTTTTTTTTCTTCCCCAGTTTATTTTGAACCCAGTGCCCTCTCTTTTTCTCTTTCTACCTCTCTGTGTTTTCCTCCTACCCCCTTCTGTGGGCTTGGAGACTGGCAGCAGTAAACAGTAAACACTTTAATTTGCTCCCAAACTATGGATTCCTCCGGGGTTAATTATTTATGTATGACTGCGATGGACAGAATCTGAGTCTGAGTTGGAGATTCCCACTAGATGTGCAAACTAGGCACCTTTTATGGGTTGCATCTGTATATTGTGATTGTTCAAGTGCATGAGGAAGTTTGTAGAACTGCTGTGTGGAGAAAAGAAAGAAAGAAAGAAGTAGCTCTTTATTTCGTAACATTTTATCACTTCATTCACAAGCAGAAGGGGTTCTAGTCATTTAGATGGTGTCAACATTTCCTGTCTGTTCTGTCAAAAAATTTTCAAGTTTAGAAATTAGGCCATTTTTCCATTGATTTGCAAAATAATTTAAAGCCTGTCTGTTTCTCTCTCCATTTCAGTTTTTCTGTGGTGCGTCTTGAGTCTACAGTGCATCCCTTTAATGCCTTGCTGCTGCGGTAACATGTCCGACCTGGATCATTCCCTCCAGAAACACTTCCTTTGATGCTCGTTCGCTCTCAAGACAGTTCTGCTCAACGTCCCGGCAAACACACAGAAAGACCTGTTGAACTTGGGAAAACTGTAACACCTACCTGAAGCATTCCTGTATCACCCAGTCTTACGTTTACAAGTGGATCATCGGAAGTCTCACGTCCTGAGGCGTGACTGAAACTTGAGGAGTCAAAATGGCTAACAACACGGCAGACCATCCGCCGGGGAACTCGGTCGCCGAGGTCGACTACGAAGGGGACTTTGGCTGCACGATGATGCAGCTCCGTGAGCTGATGGAGCTCCGCAGTGGCGAGGCGGTCAACAAGATTGCAGAATCCTATGGAGACGTGCAAGGGATCTGCCGCAGGCTCAAGACCTCAACTATCGAGGGTAAGAAGCAGTGAAGATCTACACCTACACATGCACGACCGCTTGATGCAGTTGTGCCATATGCAGAAAGCTTTTTTTTTTTGGAAAATAGCTTTGCATACACTAAGCATCATTTAACAGCGTTTTTTACCCTGGGTCATACAGTGCAACAACTAATTGTAGTGCTGCCATATTAATCACAGTGTTGCGAGTAGCTTCTGAATTAGTGGTGTTTGCTAAGGCAAGCATCACTACTACTATTGCTCATACCTGGGTTTAGGAATTTGAACAAACTCCTAAAACAGTTTCTTAATCTGTGTTGTGTAACTCAGCCAATGTGTTTGTGCTGTAGACATGAATGATGCCTTAATTCCTGCAGCTTGTTGAGGCGAGGTGTGCTATTGCTTTTCTAGTTGAGTCAGAAAGACTTCTCCATACCTTTACCACTCAACCAATTTAAGAACTGAAACTTGTGTAAATTGTGTACATTTCTTCATTTTTAATTGAACAAGATTTTGTGCAATATGCAGACATTATTGAAGCAGGTGATTGGTTGATGGGTGTTGGGTTGATGGTCTAGGGCTGGTAAACATTGGGATGGGTTTTCCAAGGTGTGAGTGGAGAAAAGGAATGGGAAGAAAGCTAGTTTAGCAGGATTAGAAACCGACTGTGGGAGTTTACTGTATGTCTGACTAAACAGATCAGAGTCTTCTGAGAATGTGTCCGAGTCTCATACTTTGCTAGGTGGAGTTTTTCAGTCTTAGGAACCCTGTCCGTAAGAAGATGCTCTTCCTCCTGTAGTGCATTTATCTGTCTTGGTACTATCAAATAATGAGAGTTTTGAGAACTCAAAGGGGATGGCTCACCTAAAAATAAAAATTGTAATTTATTAAAACTTTTGCTGTTTCAAGAGTTTTTCAAATTCTTCTTTGTGGCAGAACGCATTAAAACATTAAAAACACATAAAAAAATTTAAGCAGCACAACTGTTTACAACATTGTTAATAAGAAATATTTCTTGAGCATCACGTCATGGAATATTAGTGATTTATATCTGGGTTGGAAGAAAACCCAAGCAACTACATAAGTTTTTTTTTTTTTTTTAAACACACTTCCATTCCTGTTATCAGAGATGAACTTGGGTGGGTCCTCTTCGGCATGGCATGTGACATTGCTTTATATTGATTTAGTTATTTTTTTTTCTTCTCCACAGAAGCACTCAAACATTTTATGTGGTCTGCCAATCTGAAGGCTCGGTAATGGCCTCTCTCAATGCCTTGGGCAATGGATGGCATTTGTTTGGAAACACCGTAGCGCTTGTTCATGTGGCATTTACACATTTCGACATTTACAGACATCCGTTACATTAGTACTAATTTTAGAACTAAACTCAATAAGCTGTATTCTGACCTGACTAATGTGGTTTGCTCAAACACACACTTATACCTAGAACAATGAATACGTTTTTAAAATCAGACTTCAGAATTTGAACAAACTCCTAAAACAGTTTCTTAATCTGTGTTGTGTAACTCAGCCAATGTGTTTGTGCTGTAGACATGAATGATGCCTTAATTCCTGCAGCTTGTTGAGGCGAGGTGTGCTATTGCTTTTCTAGTTGAGTCAGAAAGACTTCTCCATACCTTTACCACTCAACCAATTTAAGAACTGAAACTTGTGTAAATTGTGTACATTTCTTCATTTTTAATTGAACAAGATTTTGTGCAATATGCAGACATTATTGAAGCAGGTGATTGGTTGATGGGTGATGGGTGACTTCACTTTAGGTACTTTAAACTATGATGAGACTGGGTGCCAGGATTAAAATATTACTAAAGAGAGGTGAGAATAATTGACCTCAACAGTTTAAACCGTTAATCAGAATTGGGTCACTTTGATCAGAATAAAACTGCCATGGGCTGATATCTCCTCCGTTAGAGGTCAATGCAGTGTACAATGAGGCTGAAGCTTGACCGACGCTGAAGGAGGAGTGGACTGTAATCCAATCTGGGTTAAAATCCACCTCGGGGCTTTCCAGTATCCAGTGCTTCGCTTTTTATGGCTACCATCACTGACTGTATGAGAGTGATAGTGGGAAATTGGCCATAGCGCTGGTAAATGTATCCCAGTCCAACATTTCATCTCGGATCACTACAAGCACACATCAAAGAGTGACCTCTATTTTTCATATTCCGTGTGCATAAGAAATCCCGACGGAGTTGGAAGCTCCCCTATCTCACATTAACGCAGACCCCCTTATCTCTGAGTTTTTTTTTCTTCCCCAGTTTATTTTGAACCCAGTGCCCTCTCTTTTTCTCTTTCTACCTCTCTGTGTTTTCCTCCTACCCCCTTCTGTGGGCTTGGAGACTGGCAGCAGTAAACAGTAAACACTTTAATTTGCTCCCAAACTATGGATTCCTCCGGGGTTAATTATTTATGTATGACTGCGATGGACAGAATCTGAGTCTGAGTTGGAGATTCCCACTAGATGTGCAAACTAGGCACCTTTTATGGGTTGCATCTGTATATTGTGATTGTTCAAGTGCATGAGGAAGTTTGTAGAACTGCTGTGTGGAGAAAAGAAAGAAAGAAAGAAGTAGCTCTTTATTTCGTAACATTTTATCACTTCATTCACAAGCAGAAGGGGTTCTAGTCATTTAGATGGTGTCAACATTTCCTGTCTGTTCTGTCAAAAAATTTTCAAGTTTAGAAATTAGGCCATTTTTCCATTGATTTGCAAAATAATTTAAAGCCTGTCTGTTTCTCTCTCCATTTCAGTTTTTCTGTGGTGCGTCTTGAGTCTACAGTGCATCCCTTTAATGCCTTGCTGCTGCGGTAACATGTCCGACCTGGATCATTCCCTCCAGAAACACTTCCTTTGATGCTCGTTCGCTCTCAAGACAGTTCTGCTCAACGTCCCGGCAAACACACAGAAAGACCTGTTGAACTTGGGAAAACTGTAACACCTACCTGAAGCATTCCTGTATCACCCAGTCTTACGTTTACAAGTGGATCATCGGAAGTCTCACGTCCTGAGGCGTGACTGAAACTTGAGGAGTCAAAATGGCTAACAACACGGCAGACCATCCGCCGGGGAACTCGGTCGCCGAGGTCGACTACGAAGGGGACTTTGGCTGCACGATGATGCAGCTCCGTGAGCTGATGGAGCTCCGCAGTGGCGAGGCGGTCAACAAGATTGCAGAATCCTATGGAGACGTGCAAGGGATCTGCCGCAGGCTCAAGACCTCAACTATCGAGGGTAAGAAGCAGTGAAGATCTACACCTACACATGCACGACCGCTTGATGCAGTTGTGCCATATGCAGAAAGCACTGGTACATGTTGCAAAATCACTTTTAATTGATGTATATTAGAAACTATTATTTACCAGAAAACTAAATCTGTTGCATATTTCAGGTTTAATATATGCTGAATCCTTTTCAGCAATGAAAGCTTTAAATATTTGGCTGAAAGGATCCCAACAGCATGACTCCACACCACCATACTTCACTGTAGGCATGGTGTTATGATTATGGGAAGTTTACATGTGCTTTGGAAATGCTCTATGATCTTGTCATCTGACCACAAGCTCTTTTCTTACGTCACAGCTTGGTCACGTGGGCATTTGCGGCAAACTCCGGACATGCTTTGCAAAGTTCCTTTAGAGCAAAGTTCCCTCAGATACGTTCCAGCGTTATGCAGAGCTTTTGAGATGGGTCGATTTATTTTGTTCTCGTCTACTGAGCTCTTTGATTGTTCGCTGCTTTGTGGTTTCATATCCAGTCTGCTTTTCAAGAGGAGAGTCTTGTGGGACAAGTTTTTCTACTGCTGGATAATTCAGCCAACAGTGTCCCCTTTTCCTAATTTAAGCATTTTTGTTGCATTGTCCCAGACATTTTTGGAATGTTCTTCACGTCTTGGGTTTTACAGCTGACCTTCAAATTCACTACATAAAAATTAATTTCTTATGGGAATATTTTGGGTTGAATACAAGTTAACAAGTTTATTTATGGATTTGTTTTTTATTTCTTAAAATATTTACTTTACACATTTATAATTTATTAGCTTTTTTTTTTACTCATTTACTTATTTACTTGTTTGTTGACTGTATGGTTAATCAGAATTATTTTCTGTGGTAATCAACAGCATTAATCTCAGTTGTCTTATATAGTTTTGTAAATTGTATATATTTTATTCTGTACCCTGTGTTTACTATGAGAACAGCCTTTTTGCCAACATGGAGCTGAAAGTCAACCAACAAACAAACAAAACCCAGAATATTCTTTAACAAAAAATATTTTTTAGTCCCTACAGCATGGTACTTTTTAGGCCTTTCTGACACATTAATTCATACAGATAGTCAAGAAAGAGGGAATGGGATTGGAAAATGTTGCAAGCTGGATTCAAACTTGTCTCACCTGTATAAGCCTACAGCTTAATGTATGCTAACCACTAGACCATGGCTGCAAATCTAGCTCTGCAACCCTCTACGGACACCTTGGCAATTGAATTGCCATTGGCTAGTAAATTTTTTAGTTTACTCGCCAGACTGCTATATATATATATATATGTAGGCATGAAGTGGCGGTGCCATTTTTCAAACATTTATTATATATATATATATATATATACAGTGGGTACGGAAAGTATTCAGACCCC